AAGACGAGGCAGGAGGCAGCGGCATCACTGGCGCGTTGCTTTGGGAGCAGGGTCGTTCCTGCAACCCCGTGTCCGGAGCGGACGCTGTCACTCCCCCGCTCGCTCCCGTCGTGCTCAAAGGCTCCTTTCAGTGAGTCATTTTCTCTCTTGCTGTCCCCCTCTCCGAGGAAAATGGTGACAGCGCTGCACAGAGAGCGTTCACCATGGAAACGCCTGAAAGGAGGGAGAATCCCCCCGGCTCCTCCCAGCTTCCCGCCGTAGCCGAGCGCGAGAAGATGGCTCTCGAGCTCTGGCCAAGAGCCCTCCAGAGCCCGGCGTGCCCGGGCAGTAGGTAGCATGGGGGCCATGGGGCACCCGCCCCTTCCCACCGGAATGTAGGGATTCCCATGCCCTGAATGTCTTTCCCAAGGGCATACACCGAGGTGGTGAGGCTCGACTGGCGGCACCTGTCCCATCCATCCAATCCCATCCATCCCGGGCTCCCAGAGCTTGGAGAGGGGCTCCCAGCTGGATGTGGATGGGGCTGGCTAAGGGATGCAGGGGGCTGGGAGCACGGCCCTGTGGGAAGGAGGCTCTGCAGGGTGTCATCCCCGCTGCCACCCTGGCTCCAGGTCCACCCACAGCTCGGCTGGCCGGTGTCCTACGGCCTCGCTGTTTGCTCCGGCCGCAGTCGCGCTGCTTGTCCCGGGAGGCTCCATGAGGATTAGCAATGTGGCAGCTGCAGCTCCGGGATAAGGGCGCCCGGCAGCCTGCGGTGCGCCAACCCGCTGCGGGTCCCGGTGCTGGCCCTGAGGGCCGTGTGTCCTGCAGACGGCACCCCGCTCAGCGAGCTCTCCTGGTCCTCCTCGCTGGCCGTCGTGGCCGTCTCCTTCTCCGGCCTCTTCACCTTCATCTTCCTCATGCTGGCCTGCTTGTGCTGCAAGAAGGGCGACATCGGCTTCAAGGTGAGTGTGGGGCCAGGCTGGGCACATGACACCCACGGGGTCCCCAGCACTGCTCGGCGCATCCTGACCACAGCCGGGCTCAGCGTCGTTGCAGCCATATCCTGATCCCAGCTAGTGCCCGTATCCTGATCCCTGCTCTGTATGGGACACGGATGCTGCAGGGCCCAGCATCAGCGCAGGCTGCACCGCTACCCCAGCAGGGCCATATCCTCGCCCCAGCTGTGGGACCCAGATGCTGCCGGGTTCGGGCTCGGCAGCGCGGGGCCAAGCCAGGGCAGGGCAGTCGTTCCC